CTTGAAATAATTTAACATAGAAATTCCTGCCGTTAGAGTAACTCTTAAAAAGTAACTGATGGATAGAAAATTTGATACAAGCGAAATTATAGCCTCCCTTCCAGATAAAATTTGATAACTTACTTGAGCGTAAAAAGTAACACAACTATGGATTTTAAAATTTTTAGAAAATATATAAAAACAGCTCGTTTTTATTTTGCTCTCCTAGGCGAACTTAACTAAGTATTACTTAAAATAGATAAATTTATGAAATGCGGAAGATTCATAATATCATACTTTGCACCAGTGAAATGGCAGAGGTTTGGCAAGTTATTTGCAATCGTTCTGAGAGGTAATGTGAGCGGGAAGCAACATCAAAGTTCGAAAAGAAGAAGGATAACTCTAAATCTCGCAATATTAACATTTTTCTGCAATCTTGCCCAGCTTAAGGGTTTTCAACTAAAACAATTTGCATATTATCCCGATGAATCTACAAGTGCAAAAGCACCTGGTTAGCCATGAGCCCTCCTTAACTGTCACAGTGTGGTGCTTCCATTCCCACATTCCCAAAGGCTCATATCGCTTCTTGGGGGGATCTGTACTTTTTAGAGTAACCAGCTGCACGAGCGAACTTCCCGGTGCTGGTGATCTTTCGAAAACTATACACTGGTACATTACGATATGACCCTTTGGGAAATAATTAGTGCACTTTCCTGGCCTGAATCTCCAAAGCCCTTGCTTGGCTACCAATAACACATGTAACCAATAGGGGTAGTAATTACCCCATCTAAGGTCAAAGCCATGTCCCTAACGCGATAATGAGGAATGAAAAGGGTAGCTAGGCACCAGAAAGCTTGTAATCCCCCATGGCCCCATAAAACGCAATAAGGGAATGGATTTCACGAATTTCACTCATAAGTGAGGATTCCAATAATATGTGTTTTTGAAGCTTTCCTCTATTCACATGGCTTCGCTGCTCCAGTCATGGCTCTTATAGGCATGAAGCACATAATATTACGGCTTTTCTATATAAAATTTCTTAGAGGCTCTTTTAAGTCATCAAGTCATCAGATATCTTTATTGGATAGGGAGACTCATTGCTTCAATTAAGTCTATTTCTTGACGCCTATACTCCTTAGCGGTGGAGTCGAGGTTGGTTTCCCAATCCGGGATTGCGTAGTATGCTAATTTATCAGCCAACTTTTACAAACGCCGCTCCAACAGATTTCCGGGTCTCTGGTGGAGCATTTTCCCATACACAGCATCCCAGTTTAAAAATAAAGCCAAGTAACCTCCGAACCCGTTGACAACAACCGTCGGTGCTCGCGGAAATTCTTCTTGAGCCTCTATCCCATTTTCATCAATGAAGGTAACGACCTGGGAATGGTATACGTGGAGGGGTTTAGAAATATTAAAGCGTCTTCATGAACCACTTTCCTCTTTTCTCTTTCGCAAAGGTGAGAGATTGTTTGCATTGCTTTGTCTTTAATTCCGCAGCTTCAAATGCAGCATTTTAATTACGGCATATTAGGAGACTTACTCGCGAGAAATAATTCTACTTATTTTCTACATCTCTTCGTGTCCACTACTAATTAGTTTGCGCATAATGCCTCTCAAGGTTTCATCTTCGTCACAACTACATTCACACCAAAGATTTAGTTCAACGATAATTCATTAATTACCTGTTTTTAACTCTTAGTCTGTGGGAGAGTCGGAGGACGAGGTGCTTTGGGTCTGGACCCGGTTGCCTCTTTGTGAACGGGCGTGGTTACTAATATGTTGGAGCGTAGTAATTTCCAACTTTGTCATCAAGTTGCTTTTTACACACCTCTTCGGCGTTCATTTTTTTCGATTTGTTAAATCTTCTAAAATAAAATGTCAAAAATTCATTAACCCTAGTTATTATAAAAAGGAATGTTTTTTTAAAAACAAGGGGTAACTGACACTACGAATTCCGCTGCAAAATAAAAACATACTTAAATTTAGCTTTTAAGACAAATAAAAGACATTCCAAATATATTCTTAACTCTGGAGCAGGTTTTCATGAAGACAACCACTACTCAAAAAATATTTAAATATCTAAGAGTATGTACGTGGAGTAACTGAAAAAGCTTTAGCAACAGGCGAAGGCCTTTATTAAGATGGCATGCGCTATTTATCACACCGATAGTAATTAACTCCTGGGAAAACTGTGTATCCAGAGAGACTATAGCGTTTGACCAAGCAGTGTGGCTCGTGGGGTAATGTGTTGGCACGAACCGCTCCCGGGATGCAGGCGGGCTACTCTCTAGAGATAGCAATTTAAAATACCACTACATAAAAAAAAAGGTTTTAACCGAAAAGAACATATGTATAAAATATTGTTGCAGCAACGAGATACTAGCCAACTTGTTTACAAAATTTATCGCAAGAAGAATATTTATAAAACTTAAGAACAAACTCTTCGATAAGCGTTATTAATTGTGAAGGGTTAGAAAGTTTAAATAAAAAGATCCCAGTACATGATTATGAGCGCAAATTGCCATAATTAGGCAATATTTATGATTATAATGAATTGATTTCTCCATCATTTAATTTTGTTTATCTGCGCATTGTTTTCGAGGTGCCCTTTGCGTGTGCTCATCCTATATACCTGTACTTGATGAAGGTTTCATGAAAATGTATATAACCTAACAGCTTCAGCCTTTCACTTAACACATATTATAAGCAATAATTTTATATAAGTTTTACTCTATATATTGTGTCTTTCAAACCTCTTTTTTTAAAAAGTAATTATATTATGATTGTAGAACTTGTTTGAACGTAACCGCCTCATTAAAGCTTAAGATGACATACAAATGATGTAAAGCTGATACCTGTAATCATTATAACTCGGAAATTTTTAATTTTATTTTTACTCTTTGTTGTTCCTTTGCGCGTCTATTAAGTAGTCAATAGCTCTGTATAAAGGTAAAAAAAAGTAACAGAGTAAAAACCAGCCTTACTAGATTGTCTCGCACTCGTTTTTTAGAGGTCAAAGCCACCTTAAGAGCACGAAATAAAGACATATACTAAACCTTAGACTAAACTTTTCTTTAGCCACCACCCCAATAAAAATGGTAACTTAAAAGCCTTTAGTATACACTCTAAGGACAATAATATTATAATGTTTTAGTCATTCTGAAATATTGGTAGTAGTTATCGCGAAAAATTAATTTAAAAGGTTCCGCTTCTTACATTTGGAGTTAACTTAACCTATATTACCAGTCATATTTTTTTATTCTCTGTCAATGGTCTTTAAAATAGCATCGTAGTCAACAAATGCGTAAAAAAAGTAAAATTATTGTATTACAAGTGCAGAGAAATAAATATAAAATATGAAGAGTATGAAAGTTTTTCTTTAAAGTGGGTATAAGTTGATCTAGTGGAAAGAGCTCGTTTATTTTTACTATCCCATCACATTTTCGTATTTTAATTAAACTTGCTGGATAGAAAATGTAATAATAAAAAAACCTAGTGAACAATAAAGGATAAACTTGTTAGCACCATATCAGACTTGTATATAATATGTATAAGTATAAAATAGATAAATAAATCAGGACATAAATAACCTTTCAAGGATGTACAACAAAAGGAGAGCACGGAGCAAATCTTTGGTGGCGTATGCTTTACACTCGATTTAAACTCCACCACGCCTAAATTCATATGTATCTCGAGGAGACAATTTTATTGAGTTTCCTACATTTACGTATCTGTACAAGTAGGAAGTTTTTTTATTATTTTCTGTCAATTTAATTTATTTATTTAGAGTAGATGTAAAATTAAAGTATTTAACTATCTGTAAATTTTTTTAATTAGCCACTAAAACTATATTTAATTATAATTAGCGACTAAATATTACAATTAAATAGATGTTAGCTTTAATTGGTTATAAAAATATTAGTATATGCTATGGGAGCGGTTGATTCTCAACTATGACTGCCTTACTTTCCGGGCCATTTAATTTAGTTAAGTTTGTCTTACAGGGTTAAACAATAAAGTAAAGTATAATTTATTCCAAATTTAATATGGCGTTAGCCAAAGCTTAGAGGCACTAATAATTAATTTGCTCTTAAGCCCCCTGTGTAGAACAGCACCGGCCACATACTTTATAATTATTAAGTATTGTGCTTTCACACTCATCCCTTAACTGCATTTAAAAGTTAATTTATTTTTGTGTTATAGCAAAATTTTTTTAAAACATCTGATACGAGTTAAGAAAAATCCATGATGTCTCTTGGTCAGTGCAGGGTTAGCTAAATGTATATAGCCTTTGTGAGACCTGGGTAAATGTTTATTTTTAAAAATTTCTTAATAATGTGGTAGCTATAGCGAAGTTAGCATGGTGGCCTCCTAATAACTGCCTCCAAAAATATTTACCCACAATAGGTTTATATTTATACATCAACCCTTTAACGGGCAAAACTCTTTGGATTAAAAGACATTTGTTTTACGTTCACTGTTAACTAAATTTACCACCTCTTCATATTTTGTTGATTGCTGGCTAATCCGTCAGAACATAGTACTCAAACTTAGCAGAGGTTGTTTCAGAGCCCGAGCCTGTCGTTTAGGGTCAAGTTGCAGAAACCTACACGCAAATTGAAACTAGGCAACAAGTGATAAACATAGTAACCAGTAAACTATAAGGGGTTACAGAGTAGTTACCAAGACGAAAAACTCTCTGTCTTTTGTCAAGTTGATAAAGCGCCTGATAGCCTGGAACTATAAAAGAAAATTTTATATCTACTAACAATCAAGATGAGACAATTAAAAATAGACGTTAAAAAATAAGTAAACTTTCACCTTGTGAAATAAGTTTTTAAATGCGGTTGAGCATTTTTAAGTAATAATTTATAGGGTGAAAATTTATTTTTTTTCATCATGCCTGCAGGGGTCATTTGGGGGTTATAGTGAAGGTTTAGGTGTATGACGAGTAACATATTTAGTATTAATGTTAACGCCATCATGCTGGTCCTCCGCTTCGTTCGCTCTTTTTACCAGTTCAAATGTCGTTGCACTTACAGTTTTAGGGTTGAAGCCTTAATGCATGATTTTATTAACAAACAAGAAGATATTGATGAGTTATCTTTCACTAAAAATGTGGCGCGATCAAATGAAACTGTGGATATAAAGAGAAAACGATTGAAATATCAAGGCAAATATAGAGGCATTCTTGAGTCCAGTTTGCTGTTATCAAATTTTTGTGACACCAAAATCCCCGAGTTGAACGAGTACTGTTTCTTATAATCATAACGATACTTAATTGTTTTATATAAAACTACTTTATTTTTAAGGGAGGAGTTAAACGATTTAGATAGGTTGCTTAGCGAGAATGACTGGGATATATACAGCTGGATAACTGGAAGGGCCCCTTTACCTGAGGTTCATAAAACAACAGTATTCGAGAAGGTACTTTTTATTAGATACGGTTATTTAGTTTTAAATCAAACCCAACACTGATACTTGGTGTAAAGAATAGTATTCTTAATAAATATTACACTCGTAGACTACATACCCTTTGTTCAAATTAAGAGGTCACAATTTGAACGTACAAGCCCGAATAATCTTAGTTTGCTTCTTATAGTAATTTAATTCCCCTATTTTACTTTATTGACGACTTAAAAAAAGTACCTACTTTATAAAGTAGTGCACATAATTATTAGCTTATATTGGTGACGAAAAGTATTGCGTGTATATAAGATAATAATAGAGCCATTCTAATAGCATTGATGCTGATATATTTATTGTTTTATGCAGATCAACCATTTTAGTAAAAATGAACTTAAAAGCGTGTTGAAGAAAATGAATCTTCAGTGAAAAGTTTGTTTATTTTCTTATTAATTAATCTGTTCTTTGTTTAAAATAAACTATATACTCTTTCTACTCCGTTTACCTACTGTACTAAACGCCGACAGAATTTTTTTGATCATTTTTTTAAAGTGTAATTAAGTTGAAATGTTTCATTATGTTTATTTTTATTATATGCTGGGGTACTTAGCTTCTTTAATCTGTACTATAAACCAATCTTTTGCAATTCTTTTAAACGTGAGATAATTTAGCTACTAACTATAACCACTCCTGGGCTAATAGAGTTTCTGTTTTTAGCACAGAAGTTATCCTGAAAAGGTTGCCAAATTTAGGTCTACTTACTTTTTCTTATCTTTAAAACTATGAGGTAGTCGTTAAGAGGCTAAGATGCACGGTTTTGCGTCTGAGTATGGGCAGCGGGATCGAGGATGGCAAATAATAGGCGTAGCACCCTAAACGAAGAACTAAGACTCGATACTGTGCGTAAATCATTTGGAAAAGTTATGCTGCAACCATTAGTAACGAAAACTTTTTAAAGGAGATAAATAAGCAGTGCAAAAAATTGCAAGTAAACTAATTTTTATTAACGACGGTGCCTAGGCTCGATCGAGTTAAAAAACTCCGAATGCTCGAGCTCTCAAACAGGAGTGATCTCAAATATAACACAAATAGCTTTCACGGTGTCACTACTTTCTTGACATTAAGGACTCGCGCTTACGCGCATCACGAATGGCTCCTCACCCATGGCTTGTAAATAAGGTCACTCGCCAGCAGGCGATTAGTGTGCTTGGCTAGCCTGTCGTAAAGGACGTTGGCATTACGTTGAAGACGACGTCTAAAGGGCCCAACTGATGGTTACTGGTGAAGGGCTGCATTCCCCACAAACCATGGCGCATTTGTCATCAAGCGCAGCAATTTATTCTGTCACACTTGTAATGCCGACGCTATTGCAGTAAACTCGTAGACCTAGGCAGCAGACGCGTATGTCCTTATTAACTGGAAGTAAGAAATATACTACTACCGTTTGTTTTGCAGAGGAAGCTTGCTCTTGCCGCATAGTAAAGGGTAAAGCGCCTTAATTGCTGCCTTAAACTTCGCCACTAGATAGTCCACGTGAGGCCGCCAAGAACATTTGTTGTCAGCGATGATTTCCAAGTATTTCGCTTGACAACACCACGGGGTCTTTACGCCAACAAGGGGACCCTCTTCTTAGAATTAAAAGCGCTTTGCTCTTCATCGCATTTATAGAAACTTTCCAATTACAAAACCAGTCAGCAAGGGCGTCAAGATAGCATAGCGCGGTGGGAGACTTCGACGAGGAGTAAAGACCGTATCATCGGCGCAGAGGACAATTCGTGTGTGTCGATTTGAAGGCAAGGGCAAGTCGCTTATATAAATTGCAAATAAAGAGGACAAAAGAAGGAATCCCTGAGTGGTCCCTGCGGTCAGAGATCGCAGCGGCGACTGTGCGCCTCCCGCGCGCCTACTGAAGATGCGGCCATTTAGATAAAACTTCAGCACTTTGTAAAGGTCATAAGGGGCGGATAACGAGCGCAGTTTTTGCAGCAGGCCTTCATGCCAAACTTGATCAAACGCTTTTTTAACGTCAAGGAAGACTGCGCCTGTGGCCTTCTTAAAGTTAAAAGCGCGAGGTGTTCCTTTCAGTTAAGCGGAGTAACTGCTGGGCCATCGAGTGCCCTTGCCGATATACAAATTGAAACTCCTTCTAGGCGTCCCGAGCATCAACCATCTCTCTTAGAGGGCGCAGTAAAACGGCCTCACCCACTTTGACCACCGCTCACTGGAGATTTATGGGTTGGTACTTGCTAGTTGCTGATTTCGGTTTAAGTGTCTTGGGCAGCATTATAACGGCCGCCATCTTCTATCGGATCGGAAAGGCGCCAAGAACCATCGCAGATTTTTACTAGCAGACACAGATAATTATCCTTGTTAATGGCAATTTCTTCAGCATCTCATTGGTGATACCATAGGGGCCAGGCGCTACGGCGAATACGCTAGAAGCTTGCCAACATTAACTAGCTCAAGTGATTCGTGAACATCGGGAAGGGGTAGGCTCAGTCAAGGGAGCACATCATTGGCAGTGAAGAGGGTAGCTGGCTTGTTTTTGGGTAGCAAGGAGGTTAACGAAAAGAGTAGCCTTATCTGCAGCGCTCTCGGCCACTATATTTCCCTTCACGAAGGGACGATAGTGGTGCGAATCCCCGATTTCTAATCTTTATAACAAATTTCCAAAGGAGGAGGAGCAATTGCTGTTACTTGATTCAGAGATATTGTGCAGCTTGGCCTCCCATTTATTGTTAAACTGGGCCATTAGCTTCTTTCTTATGCACCTGTGCGGTCGAATCAAGCGCAAGTTTGTCTTCGGCGCTCTGCGACATGGTCGCACGGATAAGATGTCGGCGTTGGCAGATAAGTGTTTTTAGTTCGTCCAGGGCGGTACGTTACTTCACGAATAATCGTGGCAGTAGTGTGAGCCATGTTCAGAGCGCTTTCGAATAAGGCGACAGCATCATCCAGCAGGGCGGGAGTAGAAGGTAATGACGTACACAGCGGGAGCATGACTCTCGTCCCAGTTGGTAAAAAATGCGGGTGATAGTCTTCGGTGTAATCTTCGTCACCTAATTCGAGAATAACTGGAAGATGATCGGAGGAAAGCTCGTGGAGCTCTCTCCTCGCTTTTGTGAGACGTATGTCTTAAGTATGTCTATATCCAATACGTCCATTGTGCCTGTCGCCGCCGAGTGTATTAGTTGCTGGGGACCTAGCATGCACAGCTCGTGCTCATTAGCATAGACCTCAAGGATGTGGTCATTCAGATGAAAGGGTCCTTGTAATTAAAATCTCCGCACAAAACAGAAGAGGAGTCACTCGCAAAGATGACGTCCAAATGGAAGGACGGTAGTAGATTCCGAGGGAATTTGTAAAAAGCGATCACAGCCACGGGCCCCTGGCCGACCGTACAAAGAAAAATTCCACTGCCCCGAGGCTTTGCAGAGTTGGCAGAGAAATCGAGTGATAAATGCTCAGTTTTACTAAGACAGCCACGACCTCGCCGCGTGCATCGATTTGGTCTTGGCGATACGTAACAAAGTTGCACAGGTTAAATGCGATGTTAGGAAGGAGGTAGTCTCGTTTGATAACGCACATATCAATTCTTTCACGTTGTAACAGCTCCTAGAACTCATGTTCCTTAATCTGAAAACCATTCGCATTCCAGAAAATAGTCGAATGTAATAACGCGCCTTTGGTTTAGAAAAGCATTGCAAAAACAGATTCTAATCCTGTCACAGTTTCAAGAATGCTAGATAAACCCGTCGTTAAAATTGCTAACACCTTCCGTGATGTCTGTGGTTGTTGCTGTTACTGATCAGTTTTCGTGAACAGTAGCTTTAGAAACTAACAGAATAGTGGACGGGACTTGATGAGGTTCTGTCCTCCAACGGGACGCGTAAGAGAACCCCGGAGTAACCGTGTTGTTTGTAGTAAGCACCGACGGAGTGGACTTAGCGAGTTGGTTGGCTACTTTCTGCGGATAGTACTTGCAGCTTTGATAATTAGCGGCCTGCGCTTCACCGCAATATTTGCATAAGTAGCAGGGCTATTTCTTGTTTTCGTGCATAGGACTGTCAAGTGGCCCATGCCACTTTCACGCATCGAAAGAACGCAGTGCAAAAGCTTGCGGAGATGCACAAAGTTCTGACAACGATGGCACTGGCCAACGCAATTACTCTTCCTATGTTCCTCCACTCGAATTTGATGAGGAATAGTCCTCAGTACTAACACCTTTTGTCTCTCAATTCAGTGTATACATATACCAAAACTAGTGGTGACGATTGCTTCTTCCGTTTGCCAATGGCGATGTTCTCCGTGTGCATTCGCGCAACTAGAAGGGGTGTGATGCCCTGAGCGCATTTGGTGGTGGTGTTGGTGAGCGGGGGGAGGGGTTGGTTGTATTGTTATACGAATGAACTGCAAGCTGAGTTTCTTCCATCTTCCATGTCTATTTACTGAACTTGCTACCTCTCTTTACATCAATGTAATGTTTTAAGGACTACAGTCAACTCGAGAGACTACGCGAGCAGGGGGTTCTAACTAACAATATATAAAATATTTTAATAAGATTGAAAAAGTTTTTTTACGTAGTATAAAATATTAAACACTGACGAAGCTATTAAAAAAATACATAGCATGATGAAAGTGTAGATATATATAAAAATGTGATTTAGATTTTCGTGTTAGTTACAACTCCTTCACACCAATAGTTGCTTAACAATACGAACAACAAAAAATAGGCATTCCAATGGCTCCTCGCTTTTTTTTTACTAGCGATGCAAAAGAAACTTAAAAATACGAGCGTCACAAAAAGAAGTTATAGAAATGCACATCTTCTACGCAAAAGACAAAGTAAATTTATTGACATTTTTTTTTATTAATAAAGTTGAGAGTAAATTTCTTTTTCAGTGCTTCACTATATTTCGTCGTTGAGGATCTTTTCCCTTAACTGGCTCATAAACGCGCACTGATTAATAAAAAAGTCAAAAAGAATATATTTAGAAACCGAAAAACAAAAGAAGAAACCATAAAGTGAACATTATGGATAGACGCGAGAGTCAATGCGGTGAGCTCGTTGGCCTTAAATAAGTGATGGACGTATGAGCGCCTGCAAGGACACCTTATTAGCCACCCATGTAACGACACCGATAAATATCAGACTTACGAGTGGTTCGCGCAAGTAAAACAAAGGCAGCCTCTTTCTATAGGTCCCAAAATCATTTAGAAATGCCGTCGACTTTATATTGATGCAACCGTCTCTATCGGCCTTACAAAGTTTACGGAATATCGGATTGGCGGACAAGAGAGAGCAATACCGCACTAGCAGGCGACCGTGCCGAGCGAGCTTAGTAGGGAAGCTTGAGTCGTAAGTATCGATACCAAAGCCGACGGTGTTGGTGATGCAAAAGATATCTCCCACGCCCAGAAGATGACAGGGCTGGTACGTGAGTCCCAAGATCATTTTGTAAAATAAAAATCTCAGAGAAATACCTTATCACGCGGGAGCATTACTGACAGTCCACGCAAAAGTTTTATCATTTCTTCTTTAGTTTGACCTAAACTACCACCTTAAAAAAAAAATTATAAAAGTGCAAAACTTTATAAAAATTATATCTTTATAAAATAGTTAAGCTAACCTATAGAATGGCCATCAAAAGGCTCAGAACAAAGTAAATTTATACTTTTTTCTCTTAAAGATATATCCACGCCTCCGTGAATTACCTAAAAAAAAATTGAACGAAAAAAAGTTTAACTGACGAGCACCTTAAAGAAGACAATACCGAATAAATGGCTTGATTTTCAGGAGATTTCAAATGTTCTTTCAAAGAACGGATTTCCCAGCGGTGTGTTCGTTCAAAGGAGCTCAAAAGTTGATCACAAGAAGCAGCAACGCACGGCAGTTCGTCAAAAGATACAATAATGTCGCTTTTGATTTTCTTTTGTGCTTGAATCGAACTTTCCGGTGTTAAAAAAATGTGCGAACCGTTTCTGTCGCGCTAAAAGTTCTAATTATAAACAAAATTAAAAGGAGGAAGAGAGCGACCTGTACGAACGAAAAACTACGCCTTCCTCAGATATTTTAACAACTAAATTATTATTATATTTGACATTCTTAGAAGATTTCTTAAAACCTCCTTGAAAATTTAAAAAGTAAAACAGAAGTGACTTCAATAAAAATAAGATAACAATTTTATAGAAGGCGACGAATGCTGGGAAATAAGGTTAACTTCTCATAAAGAAACAACTCCATATAAAAACTAAATAATAGAACGATTAATATGGAGATTATAAATATTTATCACTAATCCTTGAGAAAAGTACAAGTTGTACTAATATATTTAAAATAAACTTTATTAAAAAGTACTATATTAAAAGATTTCTAGTAGCCAAAGAGTATTATAATACACTTGCAGATTTAAAAAAAACTAAAATCATTTGAAGGCATATAACAAATTTCAACTAAAAGATTAATATATAAAAATGTATAAAGTCCCAAAGGCCCACAAGCCAGCTTAACAAAAAAATACATACCTAAAGGTTCTCGTCGCAAAGAAAAAACCTAAAAGACCTACTAAATTATTTAACAAAAAAAGAGTATTTACTGAACCTGGAAACCACCACTATCAGTAATGATGGGTCCTTTATAATTCATAAATCTGTGAATACCACCCTTTAGTAGTAAATAAGGTATAAATAAATTATATAAGAAATCGGTATAAAAAAATTTAAAGCGCCATTACGGCTTGCTGAATGGTATCCACACCGGGATGAACCAGAAGATGAAAGGTGTTGCTAAACGTAAAGGATTACAGAAATGGAGATACAAAAGAGTTCTTGCAAAGGAAATTTACCAAAATAGTAACTCTAAATTAGTACTTAAAATTTGCTGAGAGGTAAGTCCTTTTACAGAAGCGTTTGTTCCAACACTGACAAAAGAAGGTGTATGTATATCGCCGTGTAAAGTACTAATTTTACCGACTCGTGCTCTACGACATTAAGAACAAAAAAAAATTTAGTATAAATTCAAGCAAAAAAAACAGCATAAAAACAGCATAAAAACGAACAGTGATTTTGATGACCGGTGAAGGATTTGAAATGAAAAGGCCTTTGGAAGAGTACCCATTATGTGCTATTTAATTAAAAGCTACAGGTTTTGCGAACGACAAGTAACGCTAATAAGCTAAATTTATATATAAATTACTTTGCGCCACTGAACAAGCTAAGTTTTCGAGTGACTACAAACCAAATCGATACGGTTTGCATAGTATTTACTGTATGAGGAAAGACCACATGTGATTATATAAGTGTGATTCGCACACCAGCTGCAGTCTTCTTTTTCTGTTAATTGTGCGGTGGGTTTGGTGCGCTTGGAGTCTGTAATGATCAAATAAATTTACAGTGCTTTCTAGTACTTCGACTTTCTTATATTATATCACTTTATTATCCATAATATACTTTATATTATCTATACATTACTTTTCTGTCTATATATACAAATTATCGAAGACTTATAGCTTGTGTAATAGTAATACAGAAACAGTTGTTATGCGTGTGCTAAAATTCCTACAGAAGTGAAGGCAGCTGCGGAACGCCAGTAGATTGCGTGGGAGACAGTTTGTGAGAGAGAGGGGTTTAAGAATTTTAAAAGACAGGTCCGTTTTTGGAGGGGGAAAAAATTACTAGAAAAGGTAAAATAAACCGTAAAAAAAAGGGATGTATATATTTGTTAATGATTAATGATTTTGGTCTTATAGAGAGTTTGAGTTATTGGTAGGTGAGAAATAGAAGATTTTATATTTATGCTGCTGAGTGAAGACAGATACATGGAAGATAAGGTATTACAGAGTAGTGAATTTAAACTTTTGTATAGGCGTAAGGAAGAAACGTCGTAACAGGTATTACTGATGTTAATAATGAAATAATACTTTACAATTCGTGATCAGGGAGAGTGTGACCTGTTAAACTAAGCAACTGACCCTAAGAATATATAATTTAAGTTGGCACTTGATAGTAAGAGTTTCATGGAATTGGAATCGCCTCAAGTGACTAGAGTTCAAAAACGTAAGGTGGTTATGAGAGAGCGTGGGAAGTTTTTGAAGCTCGGAAATGTTTAAACCTCCTATATGACTACGGATGAAATAATGGTCATGTATTAAAAAAACCAGTGTACAAGTATGCCAGTGAACAGAACACGTGAGTATTGAGCCTGAAATATCATTGGAAGTATGCAACGCACGACAAGACCTTAACAAGCATAGCAAAGAGAAGCTAATTGACTTTGGGCTAGAGGAAGCAGAATATTTTTTGTCTGACAACGCTAAAATTTTTTGACGACCAACTTATAAATTCTACTCTTGCCAGGCCGAAGCAGGATACGGCTAACAGTTCTTCCATTTCGATATGTGAAGAGTCTGTATGGATAGGGTTCCGATGAGTTAGGGATACACATGTTTAAGTCAATGATTTACAAAAGTTGATCGAGCATCGTAAGAGCTTAAGAAAATAAATTGAAATTGTTTTAAATAAAGAAGTCTTAATCTGTTTATAATCTTCTATAATAAACTATTTACTTAGTGGTCCTCTACACTACTAAGTTTTCTTACTAACTTAACCAGAAACGCGCTCTAGACCAACGCCAAGCTTCCATAATGAAGGCGCAAAGCCCTGACAAACACAAAAAAAATGGGGAGAATAAGATGGACAAGCTACACAAGTTTTATTTTTTTATTTAGTTACTTAAAAATAGGCGGTCGACTTGCACAGTGCTTTACTATCTCATCTCTAGTTATCCTTTCATTTAGTTTCTATTGTGCAAGAAAGTGCCTTGGGTCTAGAATCTACAAGATTTTAAGTCCGAGGCATCAGAGATTTTAGTACACTAGAAAAGGGAAGAAACCTTGCTAATAATTTAAGCTTTGACAATAACAGATGGATGGATACAGTGAGCTGTGCCCCTTAGAGTTATGTTAATCCTCCTATAAAGTAACAGGGCTTGAACGTCTAGTTTACGTTAAAGAAGACAGAGTGGCTTGTGGGGTTATAAACGTAAATGTTGGAAAAGCGCGTCTTTTTTATAAGGCTGTCAAAAAAGTAAAGTAAATGATTTACTGAGTTTAATTTTGAAATGAGTGAAGAGAGTAATAACGGATTTTCTACCATGTTGAAAATGCAAAGAAAAGGGGATAATAGATTTCCTAAGTCTTAAAATTCTGGTCAGTATACACCCAATAATATTTAAGCTACTAAAGCATCTAGTCGGCTTCTAGAAAAATGGCAGAAGTAAAGAAGAGGAACCATTAACTTTAATGTCCCGTAGAAAAAAGGTTATTAATACCTTCGGGGGAGTAAGTTTTAAAAGTAAGGTACAAATTTAAAATTGCTGTGCTAAGTTCACTCGCTATTCCTCATATTCGGGGTTGCTCAACTTTACTTTAATAAAGGCACATTAATCGCATCTTCCTTTCTTCCTCAGCTTTTCTTAAC